TCAGGGGATCTCCATGTGACTTTTTGAGTCCGTTTATGAGGAATGAGAAATGCTTTTTCCTATTATGAACCGGTTAGGGGAGCATAGGTCTGCAAATATCTCCCCGCTCTCATACATGTAGCCCAGTCCTTGTGTGCCCATGACTTCATTGTAGCCAGTGTCGTCAGCTCTAATCTTGCCACTAAAGTCGCCCATGAGTATTGTCTTGTCTTCCCTGTTTTAACGAAGACTGCCTGTAGTTTCTTGTAAGGGCGTCTTTTCCACATCAGCATCATTTGTGGTGGCATAACATTGGATGATGTTCAATTTGATCTTACTTTTCTTGGTGTTAAATTTGGTTGTTGTTATCCGGGAGTTGATAGGTTCCCATCCGATAAGAGCAAGGTCTGCCTCCATGGATAGCGCCATGCAGGCCTATACATTCTGTGTGGTGGGCTCCCTCCTTGGTGTGTCCTGAATACAGCTGTGTTTCCCCGGTGGTCAGCCTCAGCTGTCCTGTCTGTAGCCTTCTCGTCTTACTCAGTCCTAGGAGACAAATGTTGTCGAGCTTCATCTCTTTTGCAATCTGTGCTGTTCTTCCTGCATCATACATCGTTCTGATGTTCCAAGTAGCAAATCTGGTGGTTTTCTTGGGAGTCAGCTCTTTAGTTTCCTTTCGGATTTCATTGCACAGCATCATAGTTCCCTTTGAAGTAGGCCTAATTAATCTGGCCCAGGTTATGTTGTAAGTAACCTCGAGGAAAGGTGGTTTGATGTTTGATTTCACTGCCTAGACTGCTTTCCTTCCCTGGATATTGAGCACAGTCTGTCCATTTGGTTTTATGTCAGTGTTTCCTTCACCTAGCCTTTCCCGTGGTTGGGTATGGCCGTAAGGCAGCGGAGGTTTGGAATCAGAGTTTTCCTTCTCTTAGATGAGTTATCCTCCCAGACTGATGAGCCTCATCTTACCCAAAGAACTGATTTTCAGGCGCCAGGTAACTCCTCTATCAGTGGTAGCTGTTCCGCCGGACTTGATGAAACCCACATGAGCAGGCTATGAACTTGACTTGGTTTCCAGATGCTATTTGATTCGAACGCTATAAGGAGCATTTTATATATGTACAATGGGAGCATATCCCTATTGCCACCTCATGGCTATGACAACATTTTAAACTTTTTTTTTTATATCTAGGCCTAGTTTAAGACATTCATGTTAATGGTATATGAAAATATATTAGCCATGAGGTCAAATAACAAATATTTAACACGATTAACCTCAATCTAATTTTACTTGTACTTAAAGTGGAGGCAAAGCATTTGAAACTCTATTACTTTTAAAAGTCTCCAAGGGCGTTCCGTATATTCCCTGTATCACTGTTTTTAGTCATTTGTGTGATCTTTACATAATTTTATTTGCCAGTTATCACTGTATACAAAGTGCTAATCGAAAATTTACTTGATTTGGATCACTAGCTATATTTGTTTGGATCATTCGAAGTTTCCGTCTGCATATTTAGAGAAATGTCTGTTATATACGTTTTTTTTACTAATAATAAAACTACTTCAACCAATATGAGACTTCTTCTTGGTATATTTAAAGATTATTAGGTTTTTGTGTCACCCACCCTTCCTTAAACATCGGTAGCACGCGTTTTTCACGCATCTGATGGTCATTTTTCGACTAATTAGCCACTTGAATGGACTCTTGACATTACTTTAATAAAACATTTATTGTTTTGTTTAATATAAATCCTAATCAAACGTTAGCTATCCAATTTGACCACAAGATCTTCGTTATATATTGACAATCACATCAAATATGCACCTACCCAACTTTTCCGGAGCTATTTTTGGTTTGCGTAGAAAATATCCAGAAGGCTATCTTTGTTGTCATGACAGCTATACTTTTTTCGAGTATACATATAGCAATTAGGCCTAGTGCAATTAGTGAAATAGTTTATTGACGTTACCTTGTGTTTACAACAGTCTTATACAATATTTTCTTCCCCAGACTCCTCTTACATTTCAAATTTGGCCTAGTCCATAGGAGGTCCATGTGTCATATGCTCACCTAGGACGTTTTATGCTCAGTCAGTGTGATACATGTGTATTTGAATAAATTATAGAAAAAGTAGTGTGACCTTTCGTGAAAGTATCTTTTTATTTTCTATTGGAAACAACTCTAATGACGTTTTTATTTCGTTAATCAATATGTTTAGTTCCAAAGTTTAAATTCCGGAATAAAGGATGGATCCAGCATAAATTTCTTTGGGAAGGGGAGGGGATTACATTGTTGTCCATAACATTTAAGGATCCTGACACAAAAACCCTACTTTATGGTTGGGGAAGTGGTCGGCTTAATTGGTTGACAAGCTACATTCTTCCATATATACTGGTATTCTCATTTTTTCCATCAACTTATGACAGTCATTCATTAACAAAACATACCAAAGAAAAAACTTTAATGCCGCTTAACAAATTGTAAAATCTTAAACAATTTTAAAGATCGATTTCAACTCTTTGACTTGATATATACACATAGTTTTGTAAATATTTAGTGGTACATGTGTATATATGCATTCAAAGTTTTGATAAGAAAACACAATGATTCCACCCTCCTATGATGTCAGAGGTTTTTGCAAAACCTGTAATTAGTTTAAATTCATATCTTATAGAATAATATGTTTTAGAAAAATGCTTTACAATAGGTGTAATGATAAATATTGTTAAGTTAAATAATTTAAAAAATGCATATTTTCCATATTTAATCAAATATTCAATCTTTAAAAATATTGACAAGGGCAATAACTCCTTTTAAGGCCTCTTCATTCAGGCATTTGCTTTATTGTAAAATAGTTTTCCTGATATTCACAATTTAAAAATATCTTTTAAGTGGGAAGTATTTAGGAATAATCAGTATCAGAATTATGCATTTTAACCAGTTTTTACATATTTTTCATAATACCGTTTACAAAAAATATGCGGTTTTTGTATGTTGACATACACTTCTTTTTATTTATGTTTCGCATCTTAAATAATATGGTTGCCAATACATTTTTGCAATAATTGGAAAGTTTAAAGTATATTAAAGAAAAATAAATCCAGTTTTTTGTACTTTGAACCTATAAAATTATGAGGGTGGAAACACCTTAAGAAGAGATTGCATGGGATATTAAAAGATGTTTTCATGAAATAAAAAGAAAACAAACGGGTACCACATCTCTCGAAGAAATGCATGGATCTTTTTTTCAAAAAAATCAAAGCATATCCCTGATAATCAATTAATTTCCATAACTATATATTTTTTTAATTTCTTTAATTTTCATAGACTCTGATTCAGATTCTTAGCTTTAAGTTCTGATATCTGATGATAGTGTGAAAATAGGTGAAACATTACTAAAGTTGCATTATAATCTCGTTATCATAGATTTATAAAAGAGAGAGAGAGAAAGTGTATAAGGCGAGGACAATCACCCGCTCTATGACGAAAAAGTTTGATTTTTCTACAATTATGTTGTCGGTAATGTCATCTTCAACATATTTGATTCATATAATAGTATTGTACTGTAAGAAATGTTGACTGAAAATTGTTTTTTAAACTTATTTAGTGGTAAATGGGTACGTTAATATTAAACGATTCCAGCCATAAGAATTTATTTCTGAATATGAATGGGTCAGGTTTCTATCCTAAGTTTTGTGCTTATATTACGGAAAAGTAAACCCACTGTGTTTTTTCTAAATGGAGTCTGGACCCATTCTATTTAAAAGTCGAATATTTCTGGAATGTTAAAAAAGTGAGGATAATGAGCATTGATTTATGTCGAAAAATTTACAAATACAAATATGTGAGCAGGGCATAAATACGGACCCCCCCCCCCGCCCCGGAATACCAGAGATGGGATCAGGTGCCTAGGAGGAGAAAGCATCCCTTGTGTTGATCAAGTAAACGGAGCATTTGCGAACAAATGTAGTATGAAAACAAAGGTCTAACAGTTGGGTGAAAGAAGCAAGCCAAAAAAAAAAAAAAAAAAAAGAAAGAACCAGGATAAATTAAATAATAGGTGGAAAAATATTTTTTGTCTCAACAATTCATTTTTTTTAAAGCAAACTGACACACAACCAACAAGAAGACACCGTAGCTTATAGTGGTTAACGCATTCAGTCTCACGCCTATTATGAGCTTTGGAGAGAGTTCGAATACTAGTAGATTGTGAAGGCTTTATTTTCCTTTTTACATACTTTTAAAACATTAGTGAAAATATATAATACTTAGAAGTATTCTAAGAAGTATTACTAAGAAGTATTCTATGCAAATCAAACATAGCATTTCTGTATCAATCGCGACAAAATGCAAATCAAGTATAGCACAAACACCAGCAATGATTGCACATTTCATCAAATTCTATAATTATTTATTTCTGTTTAACTTCTTTTGACTGATAAATGTTTGTCTTGTGATTATGAATGCCAATTTGTTTTCAAAACTGTTAAAATCGCAATAATTTTATCAAAAATCAATAAATATTGATTTCATGCAAATCACAAAAAGGATCCGAAAAAAGTATAGCAATCGCAAAAATATGTTGCAAACATATAATAGCATTCACTCAAAACAAGAATAGCTCAAATTCTCAAAAAAGCGTAATGTATAGAAATCAGATGATGTTTCGTGGGTGAATTGAGGAGAAAACTTATATACAATAACTTTTACAACAGAATATACTTTGAAAAAATTAAGAACAATTGTATTAATTCAAAATGAGTGAAAATAGCATTTTAACTTAGTAAATGAGAACGGTATTGAATTTCTAGCATGTTTCAACGTAAAAATATCCTCAAATATATTTACATTGATTCTACAAAGGTTTAATAAGTTTCTTATTTCTTAAGGTTAATTTTACTCATTTTTGCTTGCAGAATTTTCTTTTTTACCCACAATGCATCAGAGTACCCAAAGCAATATAGCTAGTGATCCAAATCAAGTAGATTTTCGATTAGCACTTTGTATACAGTGGTTATATACAACAATATATTGTGTCTCAAGTGAATCTAGACAAGACCGCTGGTCTCCCATAGAACGTGCAGAAAGATCAAGAGGCTTAAAAACGCGCTCAACTGAAACGTGTTTTGTTGGGGAAAAGAAAAAAAAGGCAAATAGCAACGGAAATAAGGTATTTATAACAATCCCTTATGGCAGAAAACTAATAGGTTACTAATTTTGATAATTTAGCCATGAAAAAGATTTTTTTTAAAAAAAGACGCTTGAAACCACTATAGTTTTGTTAAAGTTTATGGGTACTTCGAGATTTAAAGTAAATGTAAGGAAGCTCAATGGAGCAATCGAAACATAATTTAACTCGGGGTCATTTACATGTGCATTAGAATCATTTTGACACATAAGCCTAGAACTTTAGACATTGGCTTGAGCATTAAAACTTTTTAAAAATACTTTTTTAAAAATCCCAAGCGTAGCCATTAACGTTTGATACATTACGTCATGTACATATTTTGCGCAATTTTGTTATAAAAGTGAATGCTATTGAACTGTACTTGTGCATATTTTTGTTTAAGTATATTGTTCTTTACAATATGAACAAAGCTTGAATGTGTGCTAATTTGTTACATAAAGGAAATTATCATAATCACACATGTCATTTTTGTGCTTGACGTGAAATGATAAAGTACGAAGCGCATTAGCAAATATTTACATTTCCAATGTCTTTGTCCGAGATAAAATTACCAATTGTAAATGTAATTGATTTCCTCATGAATGTTTTGGCGCGGTTCCAAAAAACCCACGTGCAAGGCGGGACAACACCTAGAGAGAAGCAGGCTTGGAGCCCTTGGATTGGCGGAATCAAAGCATGTAAATATAAGGAATAACTGTCAGATTTTTCAAATTCATGAAGATGATCAATGGATTGGCTTGTGTGATAATTTTATGCATAAACGCCTTCGGCGTTTATGCAAATTATCACACAAGCCAATCCATTGATCACTTCATGAATTCGAAAAATAAGACAGTTATTCCTTAAATAAAATCATATACCAACTGCGTAAAAAAATCTAAAGGGCTTTGTTTATTTGCAGTATGATTCTAATCCCCTAAATATTTTTTTTAAAAGTAGATTTTCCCCAAGAATGTTTACATGGGGTAAATAAAAAAATCCCCATAGAATAAGTATATGGTTATTATTTAAATGAAATTAAAAGGATAAACTGTAATGATTGATATATATTTTGTTTATTTAGATGTTTGTACAGGTCGCTCTGGTCCTGTTTGTATTGTTTATATTATACATTGGATTTGAATGGAGAGGTAAAAAAATGATCTACATAGAAGGACAAGGAGTGTTCATCACAGGCTGCGATACAGGTATTTACCATAATACTGCTAAACAATGAAAATATTTAAAGATAGACGTGTGTAGTTTAGATTTCTGTTGTACGTCTATATCAAGAACTTAAAGTGTTGTTCGATATAATGCTGTATTTATAAATATGTCGTGAAAATACTCAGCTTGTGAATTTACAAGGTTGTAAACAATTTACTAAGTTGTGAATTTACAAGGTTGAGGTATTATGCAAATAATTTTTACATATATAATCTAACTTACATTTTCAGGATTTGGATATGAGGTTGTGAAACGACTTGATAAATTGGGTTTTACTGCGTTTGCTGGTTGCCTTAATCCCGACGGTGAAGGTGCTGAGGCACTGAGGGCAAGCTGCTCAGAAAACGTCCACATCGTCAAGCTAGACGTCACAAACGCAGACGACATCCGCCAGGCACGTGCCTATGTGGAAAAGGTACACGGAGAGACCGGATGTGGTGAGTTCGTTTTATATTTCAACTCTGCTGGACAACTCGACTGAAATATCCAATAAAATTTTGGAAGAATGTGTATACTTTTGTGCATGATGCAAGAAAAAGCAGACTTATGAAGTACGGAACCATTTGCATAGGCGTCGGAACGCCCCCCCCCCCATTTTTTTGCAAATAAACAAAAATATAGGCATGAAAATTGGAGGTTTCCTTTTTTTGTTGGTTTAGCCCCCCCTTTCAATTTGCTTCCGACGCCTATGATTTGAGACGCATAGAGCGGTTCAAATACTAATAATTGAACAAATGTACCTCCATATAAAGGCTGCTTTTGGTGAACGTTGAGTTTTCTGAAATGCAAGTCAAACTGCAAGGTCAAGAAAAATATCGTTTTCCATCATGCAAATGAAAGCCCAATCACCAACTGTTCAAAAGTTATTCGTTATTTTTTTAAGTGGGTCAAACTCTTAAAGGTACTTGGACACACAGGGGCCTGTAACATACTGTATTTGATTTTACGTAATCACTATATGTATACAAAAAGAGACCTTTTTTGTATATATATAGTGATTACGTAAAATCAAAAACAGTATGTTACCGGCCCCTGTGCTTGGACACAGATTTGAAGTTAATATTTTCTCTATAATATTACGACTTATATATATTAATGGCATTTCACACAAAAATTAATAAAAATCTTATTTCTTTTAAAAGTTATTAAAACTTAAAATTTTTTGGCGGGTTAGACTGACACATCCTTGCACTTTCACAAATTTTAATTTTATTCTTAATACTTCGGAAAAGTGGCAATCTTGTGTATAAATGAAAAAGATTAATACTATAATCCAAAAAATTCAGAGTAGACATGTTCGAAAGCAAAAAAAAAAAAAAAACACACACACGCAATATATTGTCAGTCCGTGCAGTTGCGGTGAGCAGACTTTGACGATTGAACGCACCGTGAATCGTAAACATCAACAATAACAGAGCTCGTGCCCTGTTGACAAAAACTGTGTACATAACACGAGTGTGATTGATTTGCTAAACTCTGTACACAACACTTAGCTCGGAATGACAATACTTGTGAAGGAGTTTTGCTTTCTCACGTGTTTCTACTCTGAATAAAATTATTTTTCTAGATTAAAGTTTTAATATTTCTCATTAATACACAACAAGATTGCCACTTTTCCTAAAGATTAATAATAAAGTTAGAAGAAGATGGGCGCATTTGGCGAGTGATCTGCAGGAATCATTTGTACGAAACATTTATGGTATAAATGTCCATGATTTGGTTGGCTGAACATAGCTGGTCAGATTTTACAAACACGTCCATAGGTTTTTTTCATTTAGTTTGAAAGACCTTGTGAAACTTTAACATTTATGTCCGTTTTTCCTAGGTGTTACAGTAACATTAGTAATGTTTCACAAAAAATAAACACCTAAAATATCTAATGCATAGATGCATAATACGTGTTCATGTACATTATAGATAAGGAGATTAAAATTGATTTTGCTCGAGAAGCAAACTGATTTATCTAATTCAAAATTTTAATACATCAGTACATAAAACGAAACAGACAAAATAAATGGTTGTTTGCATGAAAAAAAAAAATAACGCACCATGCCAGGCTCGAACCAAAAACTTTCTGCTTCGAGTGTACTGAACTTGTAACCCAACTTACTGAGCTATCACCGCTATACATACATAAGACGATTTTAAAAGGACAAAGAAGCACCACATTCACACATTTGGATTTTTTGGAGAAAAGTTCATTTTTTGTGGTCTCTGGGTCTTCTCTCCATTTTTTAATAAAGTGTATTCGTTTCTTTGACTTAAAATACACACAAATAACGTTTAAAAATCATGGAGAGAAGACCCAGAGATAGAAAAATTTAAGAAAAACGTGTTTAAAAATCTACCATTTTGTACCAAATGTCTGATTTGGCCAATTTTCAAGTTATTTTTTAGCAAACCAAAGCTTAATTTCGGGATAATATTTTCCTTTCCTGTTGCACAGGAATCCGATTAATTAAAAAATGTTAAAATTTCATGTGACATGTCAATAAAATTTTCACTTTTCAATCACGCCCAGATTCCTGCCGAATGTCAATCAAAAGCGCCCTCGTTCTTTGTGAAAGTGCAAGGATGTGTCAATCAAACCCGCCAAAAAATTTGAAGTTTTAATAACTTTTAAATGAAATAAAATTTTTAATTAATTTTAGTGTGAAATGCTATTAAAATATATAATTCGTGATATTATACAGAAAATATTAACTTCAAATCTGTGTCCAAGTACCTTTAAGGTCAGGGTAACAAAGTTCAAAATATCTATACCCAATAAAAGGAAAAGGGTCTTGTCAAAATGAAAACATATGTTTAGTATGAAAGCCCTAGAATCAACTGTTCAAAAGTTATGACAAAGATTGAGGTGAAATATTTTTTTTTGCAAAAGTGGGTTTAATCTCGAATGTCAAGGTCAATGGTCTAATTTGTTGGTACCCAAAGAAAGGTCCCACGCATCAAAGAAATATACTGTAAAAGATATGAAATCCATGTCTTCAACCAATCAAACGTTATGGGCAAGGTTAAAGTTTTTTTTTCGGACAAAGACAACTAGATTGATTGATCGTATGTTGTTTAACGTCCCTCTCGAGAATTTTAACTCATATGGAGACGCCATCACTTGCCAGTGGATAGCTGCAAATTTTGTCCTATGCTCGGCACTCAGGGTCATTGAGCAGTGAGGGATCTTTTGTCGTGCCAGCACCTACTGCGACACGCGGGACCTCGGTTTAATACGGCCTCATCCGAAGGACCGGTCTCCATGTCCCACAGTGGGATTGGAACCCGCGACGTAAGGATTTCACTTCTTACTTCGCGACTCTAGAGCAGATGCTCTAACCACTGCGTCACGCAGGCGACAACAGACAGCTACAATGTAGATCGACTGAAGGGCAAAACCTATATACCCCGAAACTTCGATTACACGTGTACAAATTTCCGCCTTGTCAGTAAAGAAAGATGCAGGTTTGTCACTGTTGAAAATCTGAAAGGACTAGGATTATCTCAATGTTCTACTGTGAACAGTCATAACACTAAGATTCTGATTGTCTCTACATCACATTGTCTACATGTATCTGACAGAGTGTAGTATCTATATTTTAGAAATATCTTACAAAGTGTAATGTCTAGATATTTTAGGATTATCTGACAGGGTGTAATATCTATATTTTAGGATTATCTGACAGAGTGTAATATCTATATTTTAGGACTATCTGACAGAGTGTAATATCTATATTTTAGGATTATCTGACAGAGTGTAATATCTATATTTTAGGATTATCTGACAGAGTGTAATATCTATATTTTAGGATTATCTGACAGAGTGTAATATCTATATTTTAGGATTATCTGACAGTGTAATATCTATATTTTAGGATTATCTGACAGAGTGTAATATCTATATTTTAGGATTATCTGACAGAGTGTAATATCTATATTTTAGGATTATCTGACAGAGTGTAATATCTATATTTTAGGATTATCTGACAGAGTGTAATATCTATATTTTAGGATTATCTGACAGAGTGTAATATCTATATTTTAGGATTATCTGACAGAGTTATCTATATTTTAGGACTCTCTGACAGAGTGAGTGTAATATCTATATTTTAGGATTATCTGACAGAGTGTAATATCTATATTTTAGGATTATCTGACAGTGTAATATCTATATTTTAGGACTCTCTGACAGAGTGTAATATCTATATTTTAGGATTATCTGACAGAGTGTAATATCTATATTTTAGGACTCTCTGACAGAGTGTAATATCTATATTTTAGGATTATCTGACAGAGTGTAATATCTATATTTTAGGACTCTCTGACAGAGTGTAATATCTATATTTTAGGATTATCTGACAGAGTGTAATATCTATATTTTAGGATTATCTGACAGAGTGTAATATCTATATTTTAGGACTCTCTGACAGAGTGTAATATCTATATTTTAGGACTGCCTGACAGAGTGTAATATCTATATTTTAGGACTCTCTGACAGAGTGTAATATCTATATTTTAGGACTGCCTGACAGAGTGTAATATCTATATTTTAGGACTCTCTGACAGAGTGTAACATCTATATTTTAGGACAGTCTGACAGAGTGTAATATCTTTATTTTAGGACTGTCTGACAGAGTGTAATATCTATATTTTAGGACTGTATTATAGAGTATAATATCTATATTTTAGGATTATCTGACAGAGTGTAATATCTATATTTTAGGACTCTCTGACAGAGTGTAATATCTATATTTTAGGACTGTCTGACAGAGTGTAATATCTATATTTAATTTTAGGACTCACTGTCTGACAGAGTGTAATATCTTGTTAGGATTATCTGACAGTGTAATATCTATATTTAAGGATTATCTTATAGAGTGTAATATGTATATTTTAGGACTATGGGGGATCGTTAACAATGCTGGAATAGATCTGTACGGCGATGTGGAGTTGCTGACCATGGACTTGTACAGACAAGTAGCCGACGTTAACCTCTTTGGAATGATTAACGTCACCAAGATGTTCCTACCTCTCATAAGAAAATCAAAAGGTCAGTAATCCCTTTAGAAGTAACAAAATTGGCTGGTTCCATTCCATTAACATGCGTGATTCATCGAAGACATTTTCAATAATATAAACATATAATCAGACGTTATGTTGTTTGTATTTAAGGTGGAGAATGTTATTATTTAGCTGCGAGATTATTTTTTCCATTTTTAATTGCAATAGAGAATTTTAAGGCCAAAAAAAAAAAATCAATTTTTAATTGCAGTAGAGAATTCTAATGAGACGATTTTTTAATCTGATAAAAATAAAATTTCTAAAATTTTTTTTTGCTCTATTAATTAATTTTTTTTTTTTGCCTAATGAGACGATTTTTTTTAATCTGATAAAAATCAAATTTCTAATCACCCATTGTCCTGCGGCCAGTCGAAAAATATCACATTTTCAACTTCTTAAAAACCATTTGGCCATTTTAAACAAAAGTTGGTTGAAAAAATATTTGGGCAAAGGGTAATTTCTGTGAGTACCCTTGTTAATCTCTGGGTATTTTTCAACCAACAAGTTTTAGTTAAAATACAAGTAAAGGGCATTGAAAAGACCAGGTAAGCCCAGAAGAAAATATATCTAAAGTGACAATGGAGTAATGTACTCTGGTCCCTGTGAGATGTTATTATTATTTTTTCTTCAGGTAGAGTGGTAAATGTAACCAGCGTAAAAGGAAGGATTTACTTCCCCTGCATATCAGCTTGCGGAGTCACTAAACATGGCATTGAGACGTTTTCGGATTGTCTTCGTGTTGAGATGGCTAGGTTTGGAGTCAAAGTGTCTCTTGTTGAACCTGGGAGCTTTAGCACTTGTACTGCTATAGTGAAGGGAGATAATGTAAGAAAACACAAGATAATTTTTTTAATTTGAGTCAACCTTTTTGCTTGTGACAGAAAGGCGTCTGAACCGGGACCCTTTCTTGCAAAGATAGAAGTAATTTAGGCATTAAATTTGGGACATAATTCCCCAGACTTTTTTTGGGGGGGGTTGGTTGGTTGGTTCAGCCACCCCCATTTCAATTTACATCCACGGGTATGACCTGTGATTGGCAATGTGACAATTTCCCTTTTTGCAGTACAAACGTCTGTTGAGGGCCCGAGATTCAATGTGGGAGGCAGCTGATCCGGAAGTGAAAGAAACATACGGAAGAGATTATTTCTTTGCACAGTATGAAAGACTTTCCCATTTAACGTCATCGTATCCAAACTGTGATCCTGTATCGGACGTAATAGAAGATGCTTTAGCAAATGAGAATCCAGCCGCAAGGTACCTAGTGGCTGGGGGATCGGGTTTCTATGATGATTGTGTAAGTAAATCCTGAGACATTGCTTGTTCCAAAATATTTATCAACAAAGAGTGCATGTTTTGTAGAGTTCTGCTGACGTGTTTTGTATATATCCTATTCATATACCATTACCATGTATAGCAGTTTGTTACATTTTAATGCACGTATTAAAAGCTCTTTCTTGTTTTTAACATAGATCCTGGCGAGAATAATCAATTTTGTTCCAACTTGTGTTATGGACTTCTTATCTTCGAGATGGGCTCTAAAAGGTCTACCAAAGATGAAGTCGTTACAATTAAAAGGAAAATAATAATTTATTTGTATTGCATCGAATGTGTAATTACATAATGTTGAAAATAGTTATTTGAAATTCCAATTATAAATTCATAATTACTACTGTCATATTTTTACCTCGAACTTGCAATGTTTTTATTGCTTTCCCTATACTGAGAGAAAATACACAGTGTTGCCCTGGTTACTAAATATACTAGAAAAAAAAAAAGGAATTGATGTTTGGTTATTTTATTTATTTATAGATTCTTAGATGGAATATTTTGTTGCATTTATATATGTCCATTTAAAGTTTATTCGAACAGACCACATGAACTTGATCCTGTAATAAATATGTTTAACCCATAGTAACATATGGGTTAATATATTTGACCCATAGTAACATATGGGTTAATATATTTGAACAATAGTAACATATGGGTTAATATATTTGAACAATAGTAACATATGGGTTACAATTTATTACAGAATCAAGTGCCTGTGGAACGGACACTTATTATTGCTATTATTCACTTATTAGTGAATATGGCCATTTACACCATATCTCACACCTACAACGCACAGAAGGAAAGAGATTATACAGAATTGCCATGCAGGGAATTATCCGTCCATATGTACATAAGAACGACGCAAAGCGTCCAGCGTATAGCGGGAGGTGTCTCTTGACGTAGACGCAGTTCCAATTTATATAAAACGTGTTCTGTTGGGGAAAACTCCGCAAACATCGCAAGCCAGGGAAGCGTATTTACGTTTTATTGTTGTAGGTCGTTACTAACAACGCCTGCAATATAAGGTCGTGCGTTTTCCTGTTGCAGAATGACGTTTTAACGCTTTGTAGTTGTGAATGCTGAAGTACATATTTGTCAATTAAATCGCCTCCCCTATCAAGGAGTACATTCATGCTGCACTCCGAATTAGTGGTCCTGAATAACGCAGGCACTCATATTTTCTTTAGAAGAGTTGACAGGCTTTCGCCTGTGGATGTAGGCGAGAGCCTGTCCACTTCTCTAAAGAGAATAGCGTCAATCCAAGTAACGTTCTCCGACATAACGGTTAATAAGCCAGAACACGACCAACTCTTCTGTCGTCAGGATCTCGACTCCATCGTCCGTAAACAGAACATCCGCTCAATCTCCTCTCGTACACCACACTAACCTGGCAACACATTGACGCCAGAATAGACAGCAAAACGTCGAAAGTTGGCCTCTCGCAACCTCTTCCCTTAGGTACGAGGCCTTATCCGTCGATCCTTGGGATGCTTCTTGCGGTGAAAAAGCCAACTGAAAACTATTTATATGCAAATGTGTCATCCGTTATTTACATGGTTTATACCTATCTTTCCGACAAGACGTCACGATCGTCAGCAGTCCCGAGCAGTGCCAGTTTACCGATATCGTCTCAATAAAGCATTTACTGTAATATATCAGAATACTGTATTACAATTTTAATATGAACTCCATACCTATCTTATCATATTGCTTTGAGGCATCTAAGTTTCCAACACACAAACGATCACTAGTTAGTATAAAAATCAAAATCAAAATTGTATTTAAAAAACAAAAAGTATTGAATATTGTCAATGAATGCTTTAAAAAATTCTAATTAATTTTAATACTAATGTCGCAATAACGTTAACTTAAAAAAAATTATCCTCAGCAGCCATTTTTAAGCTAGAATTGCGGCAACTGAAACTGAGTGGCACAATGTAACGTACTAGAAGCTAGAAGCATCCTCTATGCATCCCTGATTAAAATAGGGCATAGAAGAAAATACAAAAAAAAATTAGAAATCTGCTCTCAAAATACTAAACCAGGCCGCCGACACCCATGCCGAGGGTATTTCATAAACTTCCCCAATCTTTGTAGAGGTGAGCTGAAAATCGAAATATAATAATTGATTTTACATTTCTTTATTTATTATACATTTATTTTCTGACATGAGCATCAGACCAGTGGATTTTTTATGACATGATCCAATACAGTATTTTAACAGTGATCTGATGAGAATGTAACAAAATGCAATCACTACGATATGTATAACGGCATGTAGATTCATTGCAACATTACACAGTATGTGAATAGAAGTTACAGCACAAAAGTCACATAGACAACTCATACAACCAGTCAACACAAACTTAACAACCATCCCCTGGCACTTGTAATTATATAATACAGTGTAAAATCATTCAAATGCATCAATTTGGTTCTGTGTGTTGATAAAATAAATAAACAAAAGTTTTCTTTCAAAAATAAATAAAAGATTTGTGAGTTTCAGATCTCTAGACACGTGGTCCCTAGACCATCAGACTTCATAGAGGCCACCAGCTGTGTTCAGTGTGGAATTATCAGGGAACTAGACTCCATCTCGAGGAAGAGAACTACTCCATGTATTTACGAGTTATGATAAATGCTTTCTTTCTTTATAGAAACACTGATCATCTAGTTAGTAGTCTATAATGTAATGTCAAGTCTCCACTTTGTTTCCAAATGAAATGTTTCACTGTTCTTAGATCCATATTAGCATCAAGTGTCTGAAAAAAATAAATGGACTGATGAACCTGTACTTAATAATTTTTTTCTCTGTACAAAATAAGGATAACTCACTTTAAATGAATGGAAAGATGTGTTTGAAACATATTTATTTAGCCTAAAAAACAACTGTATAAATTAAAGGATTTTATTACTCTTAGTCTACTTTTATAATTAATCATGGACAAAACAATATATGCTATTAGCTAATAAAATATGTTGATTACAAACCTGATCATTGCACAGAAGCTCCACTTTTTCTGCAGCTATAGAACTGACATCATGGTGCTCCTTTTCGTGGTCACCACCCTCATTTGTCTGGTGCCCATTCTCTGTTCCCTGCCCCAGAATTCTCTCATAGACATGCTCAATCACCTTCTTCACTTGTATCATATCACTCGCTGATAAACGATCCCTAATTAAATTAACGAAATATAATATCACAGATCTAATATTTCTTTGTCATTTATTTAAAGTATATTCAAAGATTGTTCTAGTCTGGCCCCTCCCCCTCTTTAATTCTTACTTTTTAATCATTTTGATGCCTGTACTTGGATGGGGTTGAAGAAAGAATGCTATCTTGTTGGATTTTGGTGTGTTCCTCTGGAGAAAAAAGAACAATTTTATTAGGCACTTCACTTGTAATGAAGTGATGATTGGTAAAAAATCACAAAAGGCCCATGGGCCACATCACTCACCTGAGCATTGTGGCTAGGAAAAAGTAGAAATTGGTTTATTATTGAAAAGTTTACATCCAAAAGTAGTTCCATGACCAATCATGGCTTTGCTATTCTTGAGAAGATCATTTTTAAAGAATTTTCCTATATATGTCCATGTAAAACTTTGATCGGCCATTGTGGCCCCGCCCTACCCCCGAGGGTGATGATTTGAACAAAACTGAATCTACACAACCTGAGGATGCTTCCATATAAATATGATCAATTATGGCTGTGTTATTCTTGAGAAGAAGATTTTCAAAATTTCTATGTAAAACTTTGATTGGCCATTTTGGCCCCGCCCTACCCCCTGGGTCATGATTTGAACAAACTTGAATCTACACTACGTGAGGATGCTTCCATATTAATATGAACAACTATGCCTTTGCTCTTCTTGAGAAGAAGATTTTTAAAAGAATTTTCCTATATATTTTTATGTAAAACTTTGATCAGCCATTGTGGGCCCGCCCTACTCCCAGGGGTCATGATTTGAACAAACTTGAATCTACACTATGTGAGGATGCTTCCATATAAATATGAACAATTATGCCTTTGCTATTCTTGAGAAGAAGATTTTTAAAGAATTTTCCTATATATTTCTATCTAAAACTTTGGGTTGGCCATTGTGGCCCCGCCCTACCCCGGGGGTCATGATTTGAACAAACTTGAATCTACATTATTGGAGGATGCTTCCATATAAATATGATAAATCATGGCTTTGTAATTCTTAAGAAGAAAATTTTTTAAGAATTTCCCTGTATATTTCTATGTAAAATTTTGGTCCGTCATTGTTGCCCTGCCTTACCCCCCGGGTCATGATTTGAACAAACTTGAATCTATACTACCTGAGGAAGCTTCCATATAAATATGATCAGTCATGGCTTTGTTATTCTTAAGAAGATTTTTAAAGAATTTTCCTATATATTTCTATGTAAAATATAGATCGGCCATTGTGGGACCGCCCTACTCCCAGGGGTCATAATTTGAACAAACTTGAATCTACACTACCTGGGATCTTTTCCCATAAGCTTAATCTTTCCTGGCACAGTGGTTCTTGAGAAGATTCTTAAAACATGCCACCAAATTTTCACTAATTCCCAATTATCTCCTCTTGAATGAGGGCATGGCCTTTCATTTGAACAAATTTGAATCCCCTTCACCCAAGGATGCTTTGTGGCAAGTTTGGTTGAAATTGGCCCAGCGGTTCTTGAGAAGAAGTCGAAAATGTGAAAAGTTTACAGACAGACAGCTAGACAGACAGGCAGACAGACGCCGGACAAAATGTGATCAGAAAAGCTCACTTGAGCCTTCAGCTCAGGTGAGCTAAAAAACTACTTATTTTTATAACAAAGATACACTCTGCACTTAACGTACATGAACAACGACTTCCACCGCCCAAGATGGCACAAGTTCGTTGAGATAATTTTGTTCCGTCTCACCAGCTGCATCTCGACAGAGGAATCTGTATAAAGCCCGACCATCAGACTCGCTTAAAAAAAATTAAAATTACACTTGAAGATATTCTGAAAGGAATCTTTTTTTTAAATTTTATATCTTCTATACAGTAGCACTTGGGTATCTTGAAGACTGATATCTTGAACACCATGAATGGATTGAAATGAGTCAGAATTCGAAGTCTCAACCTCTCTCTGTATGTCTTAACCTTACTTCATCTCAAATTATCAGATCTCTTCAAGTTTTCTTGGTTCCATTGAGTTAAAAATATACTGTACTGTTTTCTGTTTCACAGAATAAATGGCAAGACATGCAATATAATTTTTTTCTGGTTGGAAGTTGCCTCCCTTTCATAAGAGATGAACATTCAGT